GGGGTCAGTAAAGGGGGTTCGGGGGTGTCAATAAAGGGGGTCCGGGGGGGTCAATAAAGGGGGTTCATCCTGCCACATTCATCCTACATCCCCCCCGTTATTCCATAGGGCATCTTCCTGGTGTACGACATCAGCAGCGAGCGCTCCTATCAGCACATTGTGAAGTGGGCCAGCGACGTGGATGAGGTCTGGGGAGGGGGGGGATGCAAAGAACTGGAGGGAAGAAGGGGGGGTCCCCTCGATGTAATGGGGGGGGTCCCTCACGTTGCCCCCCCCCCATCAGTACGCCCCCGATGGTGTCCAGAAGATCCTCATTGGGAACAAGGCGGACGAGGAGCACAAGAGGCAAGTGGCCAAAGAGCAAGGGCTGCAGGTGAGCGGGGGCTGCGGGACCCCCCCCCCGCGCCCCGGCATGGACGGAGTCCCCCTGCATCCACAGGGACCCCAGCAGCCCTCCTGCAGCCCTGTGTGTGTCCGTACCGCCCCCAGTGTGACCCCAAATCCCTCCCTGCACCCCAATATGGGCTGAGCCCCCCCTTGTACTCCATAGGGGCAACAGCAGCCCTGTGTGTGTCCGTACCGCCCCCAGTGTGACCCCAAATCCCCCCTCTGCACCCCAATATGGGCTGAGCCCCGCCTGTACTCCATAGGGACCCCAGCAGCCCTGTGTGTGTCCGTACCCCCCCAGTGTGACCCCAAATCCCCCCTCTGCACCCCAATATGGGCTGAGCCCCGCCTGTACTCCATAGGGATCCCAGTAGCCCTGTGTGTGTCCGTACCCCCCCAGTGTGACCCCAAATCCCTCCCTGCACCCCAATATGGGCTGAGCCCCCCGTGTACTCCATAGGGACCCCAGCAGCCCTGTGTGTGTCCGTACCCCCACCCCAGTGTGACCCCAAATCCCCCCTCTGCACCCCAATATGGGCTGAGCCCCCCCCTTGTACTCCATAGGGACTCCAATATCCCTCCTGCACCCCTATACCCCCCCCAGAATGACCAGGGACCCCCCATTGCCCCCCCAGTGTGACCCCAAATCCCCCCTCTGCACCCCAGTATGGGCTGAGCCCCTCCCTGTACTCCATAGGCCCAGGCCTGTGTGTGTCCGTACCCCCCCCCAGTGTGACCCCAAATCCCCCCTCTGCACCCCAGTATGGGCTGAGCCCCCCCTGTACTCCATAGGGACCCCAATATCCCTCCTGCACCCCTATTTATGTCCAGGGACCCCCCCATCATGACCAGGGACCCCCCCCATTCCTGTGCACCCCTAGTGCTGCTCTGACACCTCCCTGTGTCCCCCCCCATTGTAACCCCAAATCCCCGCTCTGCACCCCAACATGGACAGAGCCCCCATGAGACCCCCCTGTACTCCATAGGGACCCCAGCAGCCCTGTGTGTGTCCATACCCCCCCCAGCATGACCAGGGACACCTCCCCGCAGTGTGACCCCAAATCCCCCCCCTGAACCCCAACATGGACAGAGCCCCCATGAGACCCCCCTGTACTCCATAGGGACCCCAGCAGCCCTGTATGTGTCCATACCCCCCCCAGCATGACCAGGGACACCTCCCCCCAGTGTGACCCCAAATCCCCCCCCTGCACCCCAACATGGACAGACCCCCCCCCCGTACTCCATAGGGACCCCAATATCCCTCCTGCACCCCTCTTTGTGTCCATTCCCCCCTCTCCAGCATTACCAGCCCCCCCATCATACCCAGGGACCCCCCGTCAGTGCCCCCCCATAACCCCAACCACCCCCCCTGCACCCCCAAAGCACCCAGACCCCCCTCCCCCGAGTCCCCCTTGCTCCCATTGCCCAGCCCCAGGGGGTGCCCCTATTGCAGCCCCCCCCATGGCCAGCACAGCCCCTCCATGTGCCTGGGTGGGGGGGACACATTGGGGGTGCTGCTGCCCCCCAAAACCCCTCGCCTGCAGCTGGCCAGGGAGTATGGGATGGATTTCTATGAGACCAGTGCCTGCAGCAACCTCAACATCAAGGAGGTACTGGGGGGCATGGGGGCAATTAGAGGGGGTGCAGGGGGGGTAATAAAAGGGGTTCAGGGGGGTCAATAAGAGGGGGTTCGGGGGGGGCAATAAGAGGGGGTGAAGGGAGGGGCAATAAGAGGGGGGGGTTTTTGGGGGGGCAAGAAGGGGGGGTCTAGGGGGCATAAGAGGGGGTTCGGGGGGGCAATAAAGGGGTTTGGGTGGGTCAATAAAGGGGGTTCGGGGGGTTAATAAAGAGGGTTCAGGGGGTCAATAAAGGGGGTTCAGGGGGGCCAATAAAGGGGATTCAGAGGGTCAATAAAGGGGGTTCGGGGGTCAATAAAGGGGGTTCGGGGGGCTCAATAAAGGGGGGTCAGGGGGGTCAATAAAGGGGGTTCAGGGGGGCAATAAAGGGGGTTCAGGGGGTCAATAAAGGGGTACGGGGGGTCAATAAAGGGGGTTCAGGGGGGTCAATAAAGGGGTTCAGGGGGTCAATAAAGGGGGTTCAGGGGGGTCAATAAAGGGGTTATGGGGTGTTCAATAAAGGGGGTTCAGGGGGTCAATAAAGGGGTTCAGGGGGGTCAATAAAGGGGGTTCAGGGGGGTTCAATGAAGGGGTTCAGGGGGCTCCCCCATTCTCACCCCCATTCGCAGTCCTTCACACGGCTCACGGAGCTGGTGCTGCAGGCGCATCGCAAGGAGCTGGAGGGGCTGCGGGGTCCCCCCCGCACCCCCACCTTGGCCCGCTTGGAGGAGGCCGAGCAGCAGCCCCTGTGCAGCGAGGACCCCCCCAAATCCTGCTGGTGTTGAAGCACGGAACCCCCCCCCTCCCAATGGACCCCAGTTTGGATCCCCCCCATCCCTGGGCTGTGCAGAGCGTGGGTGCGGGATGGGGCAGCCCCATGGAGGGGGGTGATAGGGACAGGGGTGAGGGGTGCAGCGCCCATGGTGGGGGGGGGGTGATGGGTGCTGGGCCCCCCCCCCCCTTGTTTTACACGTACAATAAAGGTGATGCTGGAGGTGCTGTGGGTACCAGGGATGGGGGGTCCATGGGTACCAGGATGGGGGGGTCCATGGGTACCAGGGATGGGGGGGTCCATGGGTACCAGGGATGGGGGGGTCCATGGGTACCAGGGATGGGGGGGTCCATGGGTACCAGGGATGGGGGGGTCCATGGGTACCAGGGATGGGGGGGTCCATGGGTACCAGGGATGGGGGGGTCCATGGGTACCAGGGATGGGGGTCCATGGGTACCAGGGATGGGGGGTCCATGGGTACCAGGGATGGGGGGTCCATGGGTACCAGGGATGGTGGGGGTCCATGGGTACCAGGGATGGGGGTCCATGGGTACCAAGGATGGGGGGGGGTATGGGTACCGGGATGGGGGGTCCATGGGTACCAGGATGGGGGGGTCCATGGGTACCAGGGATGGGGGGGTCCATGGGTACCAGGATGGGGGGGTCCATGGGTACCAGGATGGGGGTGCTCCATGGGTACCAGGGATGGGGGGGTCCATGGGTGGCTGTGCCCCATTGGAGGCCCTGGCACCGGGCACGGGGCAGCGCCGGGGCACGGCAACACGAGCGGGTATCAATAATTGAGGCTGTGCCGGGGAGGGTGTCCCCTTTCCAGGCCAGGGGATGGGGATGTGGGGTGCTGGGTGTATGGATGCTGGGTGTATGGGTGCTGGGTGTATGGGTGCTGGGTGTATGGGTGCTGTGTCCATGGGGTGCTGGGTGTATGGGTGCTGGGTGTATGGGTGCTGTGTCCATGGGGTGCTGGGTGTATGGGTGCTGGGTGTATGGGTGCTGGGTGTATGTGTGCTGTGTCCATGGGGTGCTGGGTCCATGGGGTGCTGTGTCTACCACCAGTGTCAGCACAGTCCCAGCTGTGGGAGCATCCCCACAGGGATGCAGGAGCTGGCCCTGGCATGGACAGGGATGTCGATGTCAGCTCAGTGATGGGCACTGGGATGGGTGGGCAGCAGAATTATGGATCCTGGTGGGCATTGGCATGGATGGGCACTGGGGTGGTGATGGGCACTGAGGACCCAATGAGCACTGGGGTGGTGATGGGCCCTGGGATCCTGGTGATCACTGGGCTGGTGATGGGCACTGGGATGGGTGGACAGCAGGATGATGATTGGCATTAGACGGTGGTGGGCATTGGCATGGCTGGGCACTGGGATCCTGGTGGGCACTGGGCTGGTGATGGGCACTGAGATCCTGGTGGGCATTGGCCTGGATGGGCACTGGGATCCTGGTGGGCACTGGGCTGGTGATGGGCACTGGGATGGGTGGGCATCGGCACTGATGGGCACTGGACTGGTGATGGGCACTGGGCTGGTGATGGGCACTGAGATCCTGGTGGGCATTGGCAGGGGTAAGCACTGGGATCCTGGTGGGCACTGGGCTGGTGATGGGCACTGAGATCCTGGTGGGCATTGGCAGGGATAAGCACTGGGATCCTGGTGATCACTGGGTTGGTGATGGGCACTGGGATGGGTGGACAGCAGGATGATGATTGGCATTAGACGGTGGTGGGCACTGGCATGGATGGACAGTGGGATCCTGGTGATGGGCACTGGGATCCTGGTGGGCACTGGGCTGGTGATGGGCACTGGGATGCTGCTGGCCCAAAGCAGATGGAAGCCAGGGTGAACACCGGCCCTGGCACCAGTGTGCATTGGCCCTGGTGGGCAGCAGCAGGCACCGGGATGGCAAACACCATCAGCCCGCAGGCGATGCCAAGGCAGCCTTCGGGGTGTGATCCCCACCATGCCCCCCATCCCCATCTCATGTGGGTCTGAGCCACCCCACACATCCCCACCCCATACACCCCCAGCTCCCCGCATCCCGCAGCCGATCGGGCACTGGGAACCGCATCCGCGCCATCAATTATTGAGCCGGGTTGGCGCATCCATGGCCCTGGCCCTGTGCCACGGCTCCCTCCCTGGCACCAGGGCGGACGGATCCGGTTACCAACGGCGCAGCTCCGGCTCCCATCCCATCACGTGGGGCACCGCGAAGCCCTTAAGTCTGCGGGTGGGCGCAGGGCGAAGCGAGGCAGCAGCACCCGCAGCCATGAGCATCCCCATCGCCAAGTCCTTCTACGACCTGAGCGCCACCTCCCTGCAGGGGGAGAGGGTGGATTTCAACGTGTTCCGGGGCCGCGTGGTCCTCATCGAGAACGTGGCATCGCTCTGAGGCTCCACGGTGCGGGATTACACCCAGCTCAACCAGCTGCAGGCCCGCTACCCGCGGCGCCTCGTGGTGCTGGGCTTCCCCTGCAACCAGTTCGGCTGCCAGGTAACAACTGGGAGCTGTGGAATGGGTTGGGAGCATAAAGCTCATCCCAATGGGCAGGGATGCTGGGATGCTTTCCTCGTGGTGCTGGGCTTCCCCTGCAACCAGTTTGGCTGCCAGGTAACAACTGGGAGCTGTGGAATGGGTTGGGGGGGTAAAGCTCATCCCAATGGGCAGGGATGCTGGGATGCTTTCCTCGTGGTGCTGGGCTTCCCTTGCAACCAGTTCGGCTGCCAGGTAACAACTGGGAGCTGTGGAATGGGTTGGGGGGGTAAAGCTCATCCCAATGGGCAGGGATGCTGGGATGCTTTCCTCGTGGTGCTGGGCTTCCCCTGCAACCAGTTCGGCTCCCAGGTAAGAGCTGGGAGCTGTGGAATGGGTTGGGGGGGTAAAGCTCATCCCAATGGGCAGGGATGCAGGGATGCTTTCCTCGTGGTGCTGGGCTTCCCTTGCAACCAGTTTGGCTGCCAGGTAACAACTGGGAGCTGTGGGATGGGTTGGGAGCATAAAGCTCATCCCAACGGGCAGGGATGCTGGGATGCTTTCCTTGTGGTGCTGGGCTTCCCCTGCAACCAGTTCGGCTGCCAGGTAACAACTGGGAGCTGTGGAATGGGTTGGGAGCATAAAGCTCATCCCAATGGGCAGGGATGCTGGGATGCTTTCCTCATGGTGCTGGGCTTCCCCTGCAACCAGTTCGGCTGCCAGGTGAGAGCTGGGAGCTGTGGAATGGGTTGGGAGCATAAAGCTCATCCCAACGGGCAGGGATGCAGGGATGCTTTCCCCGTGGTGCTGGGCTTCCCCTGCAACCAGTTCGGCTGCCAGGTAACAACTGGGAGCTGTGGAATGGGTTGGGAGCATAAAGCTCATCCCAATGGGCAGGGATGCTGGGATGCTTTCCTCATGGTGCTGGGCTTCCCCTGCAACCAGTTCGGCTGCCAGGTGAGAGCTGGGAGCTGTGGAATGGGTTGGGAGCATAAAGCTCATCCCAACGGGCAGGGATGCAGGGATGCTTTCCCCGTGGTGCTGGGCTTCCCCTGCAACCAGTTCGGCTGCCAGGTAACAACTGGGAGCTGTGGAATGGGTTGGGAGCGTAAAGCTCATCCCAATGGGCAGGGATGCTGGGATGCTTTCCTCGTGGTGCTGGGCTTCCCCTGCAACCAGTTCGGCTGCCAGGTGAGAGCTGGGAGCTGTGGAATGGGTTGGGAGCATAAAGCTCATCCCAACGGGCAGGGATGCAGGGATGCTTTCCCCGTGGTGCTGGGCTTCCCCTGCAACCAGTTCGGCTGCCAGGTAACAACTGGGAGCTGTGGAATGGGTTGGGAGGGTAAAGCTCATCCCAATGGGCAGGGATGGGATGCTTTCCTCATGGTGCTGGGCTTCCCCTGCAACCAGTTCGGCTGCCAGGTAACAACTGGGAGCTGTGGAACGGGTTGCTCATCCCAATGGGCAGGGATGCTTTCCTCGTGGTGCTGGGCTTCCCCTGCAACCAGTTCGGCTGCCAAGTAACAACTGGGAGCTGTGGAACGGGTTGCTCATCCCAATGGGCAGGGATGCTTCCCTCCAAGCACCATCAGCGCATCCCAGTGCCGGTCCCTCAGCAGCTCCATTGGGAAGCGCTCTCCTCATGGAACCCTTCCTTGCAGGAGAACAGCACCAACGAGGAGATCCTCAGCATCCTGAAGCACGTGCGGCCGGGGGGCGGCTTCGAGCCCAACTTCACCCTGTTCCAGAAGTGCCAGGTGAACGGCGCCGACACGCACCCGGTCTTCGCCTACCTGAAGCTGCATCTCCCCGCTCCGGCCGACGAGGCCGGGATCCTCATGGCAGAGCCGCGCTTCCTGGCCTGGAGCCCCGTGCGCCGCTCCGACATCTCCTGGAACTTCGAGAAGTTCCTGGTGGGACCCGAAGGGGAACCCTTCCGGCGCTACGGGCCCCGCACGGCCACGGCGCAGCTGGAGCCCGACATCCAGCGCCTCCTCAAGCTGGCCAAATAGAGCCCGCAGCGCACCCGCTGCATCCCGAGGGATGCTCCCGGCTCTCTGCAGTGTGATGGTCCCCTCCGAAACGGGCGCGGGGAGGGGGCTGGATGGGGGCAGAGAGAGGGAGGCATTGGGGTGCTGAGGGTGGGGGGGAATAAAGGAGGAGGGGGTGAAGCCCGAAGTGTGCGTGGTTTGTGGGGGGAGCAGGGGGGAAAGCAGCGGGATGATGGATTGGTGGTGGAGGGAGCGGTGACCGGATCCCTGCGGGTGCCATTGGGTGCCAAGGGAAGCATCACATCCCAGGGAGTGATTTTGGGTGTCATTGGGTACCAAGGGCAGCATCGCACCCCAAGGAGTGATTTTGGGTATCACTGGGTGCCAAGGGCAGCATCGCATCCCAGGGAGTGATTTCGGGTGTCATTGGGTACCAAGGGCAGAATCGCATCCCAAGGAGTGATTTTGGGTGCCAAGGGCAGCATCACATCCCAAGGAATGATTTTGGGTGTCATTGGGTGCCAAGGGCAGCATCGCACCCCAGGGAGTGATTTTGGGTGTCATTGGGTGCCAAGGGCAGCATCGCATCCCAAGGAGTGATTTTGGGTGTCATTGGGTGCCAAGGGCAGCATCACACCCCAGGGAGTGATTTTGGGTGTCATTGGGTGCCAAGGGCAGCATCGCATCCCAAGGAGTGATTTTGGGTGTCATTGGGTGCCAAGGGGAGCATCACACCCCAGGGAGTGATTCTGGGTGTCATTGGGTACCAAGGGCAGCATCGCACCCCAGGGAGTGATTTTGGGTGTCATTGGGTGCCAAGGGAAGCATCACACCCCAGGGAGTGATTTTGGGTGTCATTGGGTACCAAGGGCAGCATCGCACCCCAGGGAGTGATTTTGGGTGCCAAGGGCAGCATCACACCCCAAGGAGTGATTTTGGGTGTCATTGGGTGCCAAAGGCAGCATCGCATCCCAAGGAGTGATTTTGGGTGTCATTGGGTGCCAAGGGCAGCATCACACCCCAGGGAGTGATTTCGGGTGTCATTGGGTGCCAAGGGCAGCATCGCACCCCAAGAACTGATTTTGGGTGTCACTGGGTACCCAAGGGCAGCATTGGGTGTCACTGGGTGACACAACCCAGGGAAACAGGCCCTGGGGGTGCAGTGATCCCAAAGGATCCCATGTAGCTTCTCACCAGGGTTTCAGAGAGCAGGACGGGTGCTGAGGTGCTGGGAAGGGCTGGATCCACTCAAAGGGAAGGAATTCCATAGCCTCACAGGAAGGAAAAGCCCCCCAATCCCTTCCTTGCCCCCCAACCAGCTCTGGGGAGCCCATGGGGATGAAGGCTGTAACACGTCACATTTATTGCCCCACACATGTGGGCTCCTGAGGTGGGGTGAGCACCCTTTGGGACCCCTTTGTGGGGTGACAACATGCTGGGGCCCCCTTCATGTCTTCAGCACATGGGGGGGGGTTCAGATTGTGGTGCTCCTGCTTATTCCTGGAGCTGGGATGCGGGTATGGGAGCATGGAAGCATCCGGAATGCACCACATCCAGGCTGGAAGACTGGAGAAACCAGGTAAAGGAAAACATTACCCACAGGGATCCCAATGCCAGGGATCTCCTGGTGCGGATGGGGAGTGGGAAGGGAGATGCTGGGACACCCAGGGACTCATACTGGGATCCAAACTGGCTTCAGAAGAGAGGAGTCATCTGCCTGGGGTCATCAGGGAGGATGCTGATGGAGTCCTCAGCCCGGCCACAGAGCAGGCACAGCATCGTGTATTCCTGATGGGATAGAGAGGGATGAGCACAGGAGGGTGTATTCCTGATGGGACACAGAGGGATGAGCACAGGAGGGTGTATTCCTGATGGGATAGAGAGGGATGAGCACAGGAGGGTGTATTCCTGATGGGACACAGAGGGATGAGCACAGGAGGGTGTATTCTGATGGGACACAGAGGGATGAGCACAGGAGGGTGTATTCCTGATGGGATAGAGAGGGATGAGCACAGGAGGGTGTATTCCTCATGGGATAGAGAGGGATGAGCACAGGAGGGTGTATTCCTGATGGGACACAGAGGGATGAGCACAGGAGGGTGTATTCCTGATGGGATAGAGAGGGATGAGCACAGGAGGGTGTATTCCTGATGGGACACAGAGGGATGAGCACAGGAGGGTGTATTCCTGATGGGATAGAGAGGGATGAGCACAGGAGGGTGTATTCCTGATGGGACACAGAGGGATGAGCACAGGAGGGTGTATTCTGATGGGATAGAGAGGGATGAGCACAGGAGGGTGTGTTCCTGATGGGACACAGAGGGATGAGCACAGGAGGGTGTATTCCTGATGGGACACAGAGGGATGAGCACAGGAGGGTGTATTCCTGATGGGACACAGAGGGATGAGCACAGGAGGGTGTATTCCTGGTGGGATAGAGAGGGATGAGCACAGGAGGGTGTATTCCTGATGGGATAGAGAGGGATGAGCACAGGGAGGAAGGGGATTCCTCAGAGGGATGAGCACAGGAGGGTGTATTCCTGATGGGACACAGAGGGATGAGCACAGGAGGGTGTATTCCTGATGGGATGGAGATGAGCACAGGAGGGTGTATTCCTGATGGGACAGAGGGGAGAGCACAGGAGGGTGTATTCCTGATGGGACACAGAGGGATGAGCACAGGAGGGTGTATTCTGATGGGACACAGAGGGATGAGCACAGGAGGGTGTATTCTGATGGGACACAGAGGGATGAGCACAGGAGGGTGTATTCTGATGGGACACAGAGGGATGAGCACAGGAGGGTGTATTCCTGGTGGGATAAGAGAGGGATGAGCACAGGAGGGTGTATTCCTGATGGGACACAGAGGGATGAGCACAGGAGGGTGTATTCCTGATGGGATAGAGAGGGATGAGCACAGGAGGGTGTATTCCTGATGGGATAGAGAGGGATGAGCACAGGAGGGTGTATTCCTGATGGGATAGAGAGGGATGAGCACAGGAGGGTGTATTCTGATGGGACACAGAGGGATGAGCACAGGAGGGTGTATTCCTGATGGGACACAGAGGGATGAGCACAGGAGGGTGTATTCTGATGGGACACAGTGGGGGGGCTGGCACCGCAGCTCCGCTGCTCTCCTGCAGGGAAACCCAAGCCGGCTCCATCACCCGATCCCCGACTGCAATCGGATCCAGTGGGATCCAGTTTCCCACTCCCCCCAGCCCATTTTCCACCCTCGAGCTCCTGCATAGGAAAGGTGCCAGGGCGGAGGTGGGAAGAGCCATGCTTGGCTGCACCATCATTCCCACTGCACTGCCTGGGATGCACGAGGTGAGCGGGGAGCAGGGCCCAGTGCCAGCAAGCACAGGGGGGGCCTGGCCCCCCAGCAGTGGGGCACACAGTGGGGCTCTGGGGGTACCTGGTACTCATCCACCACACTGAAGGTGTACTCGTGGCGTGCAATGAGGTGGTGGCAGCTCCGGCACAGGTCTGCGGAGGGGAGAGGACACTGGGGTTAAGGGGATGCGGCTGCTCCCACCCCTGAGCGTTCCCACCCCGATGCCCTCAGCCCCTTAGGGACAAAGGGATGCGCCCCCCATCCCCTGTAGCATTAATCCACCCCCAGCCCCTAAACCCCTTCCCAGCCATCAGCTCCCTGACGCCCCTCAACCCCAAACCCTGAGATCCCTCCCTTAAGCATCACTTCCCCAGCCCATGACCCCGCAAAAGCATCACCCCCACCCCAAGGGTACCCCCCCCAGCATCAGACCCCAAACAAAACCTCCCTCATCTCCATAGGCCTCAAACTCCCTCCATTCCTTTCCAAGCCCCAAATCCCAAAGGTTTTCCACATCCCCAGACCCTAAAGCCCCCACATCCAGCCCCAAAGGTCCCCTCAAGCCCCAAACCCCAGAGCACGAGACCCCAAAGGGCCCCCCCCCCCGAGGTATAAACCCCAAAACCCCAAAGGCCCCCAGTAGCCCTAAAGGCCTCCCCCATCCTAACCCAACCCCAGACCCCAAAGGGTCCCCCATCCCCAAAGGCCCCCCAACCCCCCCCCCCAACCCCCGAGCCCAAAGGCCCTGCTCAGCCTTAAAGAATCCCCCAACCTCAGACCCCAAAGGGTCCCCCCCCATACCCAAAGGCCCCGCTCAGCCCTAAAGGACCCCCATAGCCATAAATGCCCCCCTCAAATCCCAAAGAGTCCCCCGTACCCAAAGCCCCCCCTCGGCCCTAAAAGCCCTGCTCAGCCTTAAAAGCCCCCTCAATAACCCTAAAGGCCCCCTCAACCTCAGACGCCAAAGGGTCCCCCCATCCTCAAAGGCCCCCCCACCCTCAGACCCTAAAGGGTCCCCTCCCATCCCCACAGCCACCCCCATCCCCAAAGGCTCCCCAATAGCCTCAAAGGCCTCTCCAACCATTTTGACCATCCCACCCTCAGACCCCAAAGGGTCTCCCCCTACCCCCACAGGTTCCGCTCAGCCCTAAAGGCCCCCCATAACCCTAAATGCCCCCCCGAACCCTAGACCCCAAAGGCACCCCTGAGCCCCACAGGTCCGAATCAGCCCCAAAGGCCCCCCCCACCTCAGACCCCAAAGGCCCCGCTCAGCCCTAAAGCCCCCACCACCCAATGACCCCAAAGGGTCCCCCCTATCCCTATCCCCAAAGGCCCCCCAGCCCTAAAGGCCCTGCTCAGCCTTAAAGGCCCCCCCACCCTCCCAACCCCCCCCCCCATCCCCACAGCCACCCCCACCCCACCCCAAAGGCCCCCCATAGGCCCAAAGGCCCCCCCACCCTCAGACCCCAAAGGCCCCCTCACCCTCAGACCCCTCATGCCCCCCCATCCTCAGACCCCTCAGGCTCACCCCACAGCCCCAAAGGCCGCCCCATAGCCCCAAAGGCAACCCCTCACCCTCAGACCCCAAAGGCCCCCCCCATAGCCCCAGAGGTCCCCTCACCCTCAAACCCAAAGCCCCCCCACCCTCCCAACCCAAAGGCCCCCCCACCCTCAGACCCCTCAGGCCCACCCCATAGCCCCAAAGGCCTCCTCACCCTCAGACCCCTCAGGCCCACCCCATAGCCCCAAAGGCCCCCCCATAGCCCCAAAGGCCCCCTCAAGCCCCAAGGGCCCCCCATAGCCCCAAAGGCTCCCCCCCCTCAGACCCCAAAGGCCCCCCCATAGCCCCAAAGGCCCCCTCACCCTCAAACCCCAAAGGCCCCCATAGCCCCAAAGACCCCCTCACCCTCAGACCCCTCAGGCCCACCCCACAGCCCCAAAGGCCCCTCACCCTCAACTCCAAAGGCCCCCCCCATCCCCTGAGGGCCCCCGATCCCCTGGGGTCCCCCATCGCCCCAAGGCCCCCCCCCCATCCCCGCCGCCCCGGTTCCCGCTCACGGTCGTAGGTGACGATCTCCTCCCCGCCGTGCAGCCCGGCCGCGCGGTTGCTCAGCAGCACCAGGTCCCGGCGGCCGCACTGCGCGCACCCCACGAAGTTGAGCAGGAAGGAGCCGCCCTCCAGGCACGTGGTGCCCTACGGCACCGGCACACGGTCGGTATCGGTACCGACACCAGTACCGGGGCCATCCCGGCCCACCCCGGCCCGGCCTCGGCCTACCCGCTCCGGGTACTCGGTGCCCACACAGCCGCCGCACATCCCGCCGCAGCTCTCGCGAGACTTCCGCCGTGGGGGCGGAGCTTAGCTCAAGGTTGGGGGCGTGACCAACGCTATTAACCCCACCTACAATATGGGGGCTTATCAGTGTCTATATATGGGCGTGGCTTGCGTGTGACTGGGCGTGGTTTACGAATAGGGGAGTGGTTTATGGGTGGGGGCGTGGCCAATCGGTAGCCCCCTCCCCGACCCAGGGTTGGTGCTTGGGCAGCCAGCGCTGGGCTGCGGGGTCCTAGCGCCGTTGGTCGGGGGCTCTCAGTGGGGCCGGCTGGGGGCAAGCTGGGCGGGTTGGGGGGGGTCAGGGCAGGATGGGGATCACCTGAGCGCTTTGGGGAGTGCCCAGGGCTACCTGAGGGAGCCCCAGGGCCAGTGGGGGACTCTCAGGACCGGAGGGGGGTGCCTGGGGTTAGCCAGGGTGCCCCCAGGACCAAGAGCACCCAGGGCTGTCTGGGGGGCACCCAGGGCTACCTGAGCTACACGTAGGGCTAGTACCCCTGGGACCAGCTAAGGGAGCCTCAGGGCTGGTGGGAGACACCCAGGGCTAGTGGGGGGTGCCTGGGACTACCTGGGTGACCCCCATGGGTAGCCAGCAGTGCCCGGGGCCAGGCAGAGCTACTCGGGTCAAGCTGGGGGCCACCACTCAGGACTAGCGAGGGTACCCCTAGGGCCACCTGGGGGAGCGCTGGGACCAGCTGAGAGCCTCCCAGAGGTGGCCAGGAGAGCCTGGGGCTCTCTGGGGTGCGCTTGGGACCAGCTGAGGGACAAGCAGGGATAACGGGGATAATGGGACTGAGGACTAGTGGGGGACAGCCAGGGCTAGCCGAGGGGTGCCTGGGACGGAGTGACCCCCATGGCTAGCCAGGAGTGCCCTAGGGCTAGTTGGGGAACCCTAGGGCTAGCTGAGGAAGCGCTGGAACTAGCAAGGGGACGAGCAGGGCTAGCTGGAGAGTACCTGGGACTAGTAAGGGGACGAGCAGGGCTAGCTGAGGAAGCGCTGGGACTAGCAAGGGGACGAGCAGGGCTAGCTGGAGGGTACCTGGGGCTAGCAAGGGGACGAGCAGGGCTAGCTGAGGGAGCGCTGGGACTAGCAAGGGGACGAGCAGGGCGAGCTGGAGGGTACCTGGGACTAGCTATGGGACGCGCAGGGCTAGCTGAGGAAGCGCTGGGACTAGCAAGGAGACGAGCAGGGCTAGCTGGAGGGTACCTGGGACTAGCTATAGGGACGCGCAGGGCTAGCTGAGGAAGCGCTGGGACTAGCAAGGGGACGAGCAGGGCTAGCTGGAGGGTACCTGGGACTAGCTATGGGGAGGCGCTGGGCTAGCTGAGGAAGCGCTGGGACTAGCTATGGGACGCACAGGGCTAGTGGGGGAGACCCAGGGCCAGTGTGGGGTGCCTGGGGCTAACGGGGAGACCCCCAGAGCACGGGGACACCCGTGCCTCCCTCGGGGGGTGCAGCACCCGCGTGCCCCCCATGGTACCCAGCGCTGGTTGGGTCCCTGTTCCCCCCCTCCTCTACCTAACGGGGTACCCGGAGCGGGGGGTCCCGAGTTACCGGTTGGAGGGGGGGGGCTCTGCGCCGCTCCGTGCCCGGTAGGAGCCGGTGGCGGCGGCGGCGGCAGCGGCGGCCGGGGGGGGCCGCTGTGCTGCATTGCGGGGCGGGCGGCTCGTCCCCGCCCGCCTCGGCTCGGCTCGGCTCGGCCCGGCCCTCGCGGGGGGGAGCGGGGCTATCGGGGCCGGGCAGCGCCGTGGCCCCGGGCAGGAATGTCCCTGCGCGCACAGATAATGTTATTTATATCGCGGCACAGGGCGGCTCCGCTCCCCCCGCCCCGCTCCGGTCCCGGCTCCCCCTCCGGCCCCGGGCCCGCTGCCGCCGCCGCCGCTCGTCCGCCCGCAGCCCCGCGCAGGTGAGAGCCGGGATGCGGGGATGGGGATGGAGATGGAAGGGGGGGGTGGGTACCAGGACGCGGTGCAGCCCCGCGGGGGCTGCGGGTACCGGGTAAAGTTCAGCGCTCTCCGTTATCCCCCTCTCGGTGTCAGCGGGGGTCCCGACGGGGACGGGAAGGACGGGGCGGGCGAGCGGCGGTGACTTTGTGGGGCAGCCCGGGGACGCTGTCCCTATGGGGGGGGACCCACAGCAACAACAACAACAACAACAAGGTCCTGGGGGCTCCGGTAGCACCGGGAGCGCGGCGGTGGGACAGCGGGCTCCGGTGGGATGCGTCCCCCCCCAGCCTGCTCATAGCGACTGGGGCAGACTGGAGTTACTGGGAGGAGTTCCCCATCTCCTGTGTCCTTGTGTCCCGTCCCCCCCCCCTTGTCCCGGCGGTAGGAGGATGCTCAGGGATGGGTGTTGGGATGAAGGGATTCCCCCCCCCTTAATAAGCCAGATTCCTGTTTCAAGGCAGCTTTTGCCTTTGTAAACCCACTCCTGGAGGCAGGGAATTGCGGAGCTGTTTCCCTGTTGGCTTATCCCAATGGGATATAAGGAAAGGACCCCCCCCCTCCACCAACAGCAGTGGGTGCTGGCCCCCAGCCTCCCCCCGAGGTGCGTTTTGTCGCTATGGGGTGGTTTCGGGGCCCCATGTAGTGCTTTTGGGGTGAGGGGGGGGCAGCTCCTAAGAAGGGAGCCAAGGGGAGGCCTATTTATAGGCAGCAATGTGTGTGGAGCGTCAGCACGTGTGCGTGTCCCCGTGTTAGGGGACATGGGACAGTCCTGGCACGGCCGGCATCCGAGCCCATTCCAGCCCTAGGGAAACCCAAACCCTCACCCATGGGTGGGAGGGAGGGCGAGGCCCGGCGCTGCCTGCAGGAGCTGTGCCATGCCGTGCCATGCCGTGCCATGCCGTGCCAAAGGAGCCCGTGCCGTGCCGAGCGGGACCATCTGCTCCAGGCCCTTCCCATGCGCTTGGGATGCAGGAGGGATGTGGGGATACCCCTCAATTCCTGCCAATTCCCAACGGGGCTGGAGATGGAGGGTGATGGAGGTGAAGTGAAGCAGCCGGGGTGACACTGGGTGCCACCGGGACTCCCCAGTCCCACTGTGAAGGTGATGGAGCGGCTGTTTTGGGGTGATTCCGGGGTGTTTTGGGGTCCCCATGCGCCCTCAAGCAGCAGCAGGCAGTGTTTTGGCAGCACACTGTGACGGTGAAGGGTGAACCAGGGGTGCCCCGGCCGCCATCGGGGTGCAGGGGGGGGGTCACCCCACCACCCAGGCCCTATGGGGGGGGACACCGGCAGCGGCACGGTGCCAGCCCCTCACCGGGAAGTGCTGATTCACGGCGCTGCCCTGGCTCCGGCCGCAGGATGCTCGGTGCTGGCGACGGCATCCCGGGATTCCAATGGGTGGGAATGGGGGGGGCTCTGCCAGCGGGGCCCTTGGGAAGGCACTGGGGAAGCAGAGGGAGATTTAAAGGCTGCGTGAGCGCCCGCGCCTGATGCACGCTGGAAGCTCCCTTGGGTCCCATCTCTTCCTCTTCCTCCTCCTCCTCCTCCTCGGATGCTCGCTGCTGTGCTGATGATGCTGTGGGATGATGCAGCCAGGACCTGACACAACTCGGCCCGCTCGGGGCATCGCATCCCGAGGCTGGGATCCTTTGGGATTGGGATTGGGGTTATTGGGGGGGGGGGGGGATGTTCCCACATCTGGGGTTCTGCTGCGGGACCTGAGCACTTGCACGGTCTTGAGCGCTCCCCTGTGCCTTATTGCGTGTCCTTGCGTGCACTCCCGTGTCCTTGCGTGCACGTGTGTGCTCTTACACGCTCCAGCGTGTCCTGGCTCACGTGTGCACGCACTGGCACGCTTCTCCATGGCCTTGCTCACATGTGCATGCTCTGGCATGCTTCTCCATGTCCTTGCTCACATGTGCATGCTCTTACATGCCCTGGCACGCTTCTCCATGTCCTTGCTCACATGTGCAGGCTCTGGCACACTTCTCCATGTCCTTGCTCACATGTGCATGCTCCTACATGCTCTGGCACGCTTCTCCATGGCCTTGCTCACATGTGCATGCTCTTACATGCTCTGGCACGCTTCTCCATGGCCTTGCTCGCATGTGCATGCTCCTACATGCTCTGTCACGCTCCTGCATGTCCTTGCACACATGTGCATGCTCTTACATGCTCTGCCATGCTCCTGCATGTCCTTGTTCACATGTGCACGCTCTGCCACTCTCTTGCATGTCCTTGCTCACACATGCATGCTCTTACATGCTCTGTCACACTCCTGCATGTCCTTGCTCACACGTGCACGCTCTGTCATGCTCTGTCATGCTCCCACCCGTCCTTGCTCACATGTGCATGCTCTTACACACTCTGCCATGCTCCTGCATGTCCTTGCTCACATGTGCATGCTCTTACACGCTGTGCCATGCTCCTGCATGTCCTTGCACACATGTGCATGCTGTCACGCTCTGTCACGCTCTGTCACGCTCTGTCACGCTCTGTCACGCTCTGTCACGCTCCCGCATGTCCTTGCACACATGTGCATGCTCTTACACGCTCTTACACGCTCTGTCACGCTCCCCCCCTTTCTTGCTCCCGCATGCACACTCCACCACGCTCCCGCACACGCTCGCTCACACGTGCCGTCCCCTACCCCTGCTCCCCTCCATGCCCAGGCTCTATCGCACTCCCCCACCTCCCAGCCGGGCCCCGGAGCCAAGTCCCTGCCTGCGGGGCCACGATTACTGCGGGAGCCGGGCCCTGCCCAGCGCTGCCGGCCCCGATAACGCCCGGGGGCTCCGGGGACACCCACGGCCGAGGGACCCCGCGGAGCCGCGGTTGGGGGGGGGGATCCCGGCCGGGTGCTGGCTCCTGCTCCCATGCGGGGCCCCAGCGCCCCCCCCCCCCCGCCGCCAGCTGCTCAGGGGCATTTATAGACATAGACCGGGTCTCAAATGTCCACGGGGAGGGGGGGGCCCGGCCCCGGCAGCTGTCACCGGCTCCGTGCCATTGATGATGGTGGTGACCCCTCTATGGGGTGGGTGCAACAGCATCGGTGTCCATGGGGTACCAGG